TAAATCTAAATATTAAATCTCATCTTAAAGTTAGATTGGAGATAAAGACAAATGTTTATAACTGAAAAACATCAGACATGAAATTGTGGACAGTTAACCAGTTTCCCAAGATCTCTTTATTTCATTTATATTTACAAATGTTTGCCCAACTTTTAAATAGAGAAACTTATTGTTTTTCTAATTTGCAAAAAAGCCCAAATAATATTCTTTTTAGCTTAAGGTCCAAAGTTAGCATACATTTTTTTGTTTGCTTGTGTGTGATGTCTGATTTTCTATCAGCAAACCAAACCCAAATCATTATCCCTCCTCCTCCATGCATTCTATACACCCAATTGGAGCTATTGTCCTGCATGTTTTTGGCACAGCATGCCTATATCAAATTAATTATCCTAAAACAAATGTAGAGTGTAATTGAGTGATTTTAAACAGCTTTTTTCAAAGCAATGACACATTTAACCTACAGGACATTAGCCCTTCAGGATTGGAGCTAACCAGCTCTGCATGACCTCAGAACAAATTATAGACCCCGATTTAGAAAACAGATCAAATACTGCATAGACAAACAAGCAGTAAGTTCATGCTTACCTTGGCACTTCATGTGATATACCAACTAAAAATAGGTCTATATTTTACCAATCGTTAGAATTTAGAAAGAACATTGTTTATTATTTTAACACCACCTTTCCATGGAATGACCATTATGCAGTGTACCTTTTGTACCCTCAGGTGATTGATTCAGCAGTGCACCATGAGAGGTCCAAAGGGTGGTATATTGTTATACAGCTTAACCCTGCTGTAAACCTCTCCAGAATCTTATCCCTAATATAAACCTTGAAAGATAATCTGTTTCGCTTTGTCTGTGGTAGCATTCATTTGTCCTACTGCTGCCATCTTTAGTCTAGATTGGCTGTTATTGTCCCTTACTGTCCCTGACTTTGTACTCTCACCCAGGCCCTGCTATAGCAACTTGGTATATACCTCATTTACGCTACCCTTGATAAACCGTGCCGAGACCGGTCCGAGCTCAGTAACTGAGATAACTTATTGTGTTTAAATGGAAAGCAAACTGAACTGACGAGAGATAGACACAACCGAACTGCGCTAACTGCAGACCAGTTCCAGAGGTGGGCTCGGGTCGGGTTTTCCCTGGCTCGGTTCTCTGATAACAAGAGTGCATGAGCAGAACGGGTCGTCTCCGTCTGGCTGCATATCGCGATTCACACTCCATTCCAGTAGTTGGCGGTAATGCTCCTCCGGAATTTGCTTGCCGACCAACACAAAACAGAAGAAGAAGAACAACTATAAACAACAATCGAAATCTTCTCCACGCAACATTTTGATTTGCTTGATTCCCTACTTCTTCTTCTTCTTCTTCTTGTGTTTTATGGCAGTTGGCAAACAACTTTTGATGCATTACCGCCACCAACTGCTTGATTTCCTCCTTCAATACTAGCAGTAATACCGCAGATCGTCACTAGGAGGCGAGGAGGCGAGATAGCCTGATGTGTAAACGGTCATCAGAACGGAGCTCGGCCTGGTTAACTGATCCGAGCTCGGACCGGTCTCGGCATGGATCGGTTTTTCAAGGGTAGTGTAAATGGGGTATTAGTCTCCCTGGGAAGTCTGAGAAGTGAAAACTTCCTATAGTTGGACTGAAGTCTCCCTTCTTATGAAGAGGGACCGCCACTCAAGTCTGCCTCTCCATGGGTACTCTACCCAGACACATTGCAATTTTGAAGAGCTGTGGCAACCACAACCGTGGCACAATAGCTCAGATATACCTCCATCCTAGGGCCTTACTACCATTACAACACCTTGTTGTCTTCAACTTGTGTGCTGAATGAGTCTTCTTAGTCCTCAGTCTCAGCTTGCAGTAAGAAAGGAAGGTAAGCAGGGTTGAGGAGATCATACAAGTATTCCTTCCACTTTCCAACAGTTTTGAGGTTAGCACTTCCCAACTCCCACTGTAAACAGTTCTAGGGAAGCACTCCTTCCCCCTACAGAGGCACTGGATGGTTTATCAGGCTGTATACTATTGCAAAAGCTTCAGATATTTGAGCCTTGAATAGCGTGCATTATTGACATACTGTGTAGAAGTCATTGCTGTGCCAATGCGTATGATCCAATCATTCTCGTCTCTTACCTATAATCTTTTTGGGTTGCCTCAAACATGGAGATGAAAGCTATAACCAAACATCTCATATATTGTAATTTCTCCAAAAATTAAATGCAATTCATTATATGTTAATTTTGTTCTTCCAACAGATGAGCCACAGCGTCCAAAGACTCACTGTGAGCATTACAGAGACAGTGTTCAGACCTCCGGTCCAGATGGACTTCCTCCACTTGGAGCCTACGTACCTCAGTGTGATGAAAGCGGACAGTATCTACCACAACAGGTTAGACTATCATCAGTTTAGTTACTTTAAACTGTTAGCCCTTGAAATTAGACACATCATCAAGTCTTCACTGTCTCTGGTTCTGCTGCAGTGCCATGGTTCTACTGGGCATTGCTGGTGTGTGGACAGCGAGGGACAAGAGAGGGCAGGAACCAGGACTCCACCTGGTACACCTCGTGTAGACTGTAGCAAAGCAGGTGAGGCTCCAAATCAAACTTTAATCGTGCTAATATAGCAGTAGTTGTATCTGCTTAGAGGATCCATGTCTGATTATGTAGCATTCTAGATGATTGCAGTTGTAATTACATCTAGTCACAATATTTTCTTTATATAAGTGTTAGCCCGGGAGGAATCTCAGGGAGCCATTTCAGCATTTGTTTCTTGCTGAAATTGAGTGTCATCAGCATATTAAATGATATAGACAATAGACTGCACTGATGCATGTTGTGTCACAGTTATTCCCGCCATGGTAGGCCAAAAAAAAAAGTATAAAAGATTAAATGTTTTCCAGATGAATCAGAGCCTCCTAAAACTCGGTGTCAGAATCATAAGGAAAGGGGATATGTACCTCAGTGTGACGATGATGGACAGTACATACCACTGCAGGTTTGTATACATGAAATTCCCTCTTTGAACAGACACCTTTGATACCTTTTTAAGATAAAGGCGTATGCTACTCAATCTTTATGGGTGTTTTAGTGCCAGCCCTCCACCGGTTATTGTTGGTGTGTCAACAAAGATGGAGAGGAGAGAGAGGGAACCAGGACACCGCCTGGGACTCAACCAAAGGACTGTACGAAACCAGGTGAGACACTTGGGTTTAGATCAATTAACTATTAGAAGGAATATAAGAGTATTAAGTTAATTTCACTTTGTTGAATGGAATCCATTGGATTAATCAGAGTTAAATTTATTGCTATTAGAAAAGCACAAGAAACCCTTTTAAAATACCTTAATTTCTGGAACTCGATGCTCTTAAAACTCACAGTCAGAGAACTGGGCAGCATTCAGGACCAGTATCTCTTGTTAAAGTGTTTGTTCCTCGCTATGATGTACCTAATGCACAGGTGACTCTAGAGTTTTTATTTTTGCATTCCTTTGGTCTTTAATTAAATCCTAGTATGTGCTCATTGATCCTGTCCCACTGAAATCTTATATTGCTGTATAGGTAAGAGCTATTTAAGCAGGGATTGGATTACAGCAGTGTGTTGGTGTGTTAAGACAGTCAAATACATATTAAAATGGCAAAAAAAAGTGGTGAAAACATTTATTTTCTCAGTTTGATTTATTTCATTCATGTTCGCAGACTTCTATTTTTTCTCTTATGAACCAAGTCGGCATCACAATTAGGCAACTGTCTAAATGGAAGATTGATTCTAAAACCGAAATTTATATTTCCTGATAAAAGTCTTGAATTTAAAGCGAGTACACTTCCTTTTTAACATAAATGAGTGGGATACAACATAAAAAAAACCTTTACTTGTTCTATGGCATTAAATAATTGGCTGTTCTTCATGCAAGATTCATTGAAAATTCAACACACAAGGATGCTTTTGAACATGTGCAGAAGTTGCTCTCCAGGTTTCTGGTCAAAATAATTGATGTTCAGGATGACTGTAGCACCTATTATTAGCTTATAGCTGTATTGAAGTTCCTTAGGTTATCTAAAGATTACCGATATTTGCAAATCAAGCATAGTCCATTACAAAAGGAGTTTAACTGTTTCGCCTTCTTGTTACTAGCTACAAGTCCTGCTCTCTCTCGCTCTACTGCAGCCGATGAAAATAAAAGCTGACGATGTTTGTTTAGTCGGTAACAGCATCCACACATCTCTGTTAGAGGTAGCATGGTGCACTTACTAAGCAATAAAAATACACATTTTTTAATTTTCTTTATTAGGTTGTCTTATACCTAGCTTTCTTTAAGGGTTTCAGGAATTCGTTTTTCTACTTTGTCTTCTACAATAATTAAGTACATTTTAGCTAGGGCTGCAACTAGTAATTATTTTGCAACTTGATAAATCTGTTGAATAATAATTTCATAGTTAATATGAAACTAAAACCCTAAGACTTGAAAGGTTCTTGATAGAACATGTTTATGGACAAAAAAGGTTTTTCATTTTAAAGGCAGAATGTGCAAATATGTTGTACAGTTTTGCTTAATTTCTGCTTTGAGTCGATGCTTTAAAAAAATATGGCATGTCTCAGAGTTTGCTTGTCTGCTTACAAATGAATCGATTACTGCATTATTTGATAATTGTATTCATAACAATCTGATCCAGCCCTGATTAGAGAAGCTTTATCTCTGTAAAGTGCCTTGAGATGACATGTGTAGTGAAATGGAGATATTATATAAACAAATTAAACTGAATGTAAGCCTCAGAGACCATTAACTGGATTCATCTTGTAACTTATTAGTTCACTTGAGGCCCACAATAAACTCTCCTCTAAAGATATTCTGTATTTGAGTTAAACAGCTCAGGAACTACTAAGTGACTAATCAATATGCTATCTAAACTACTAAATTTATTGGATTATGGGGTTAAATACCATATAATATTCCAACCACTTTAAGAACATCACTATTAATAGGTTAGAAACCAAAAGATCAGTTAAGTTTTAATCCGTTTTTATAAGAACTGAGCAGACAGAAGCAGGAAACCCTGAATAAACATTTGCAGAAACCTAAAGTGGTTTCAGGTTCAGTTATAAAGATCCTCTTTGCTGTGAGTTATTAAAAGGCCTCTAGGCTGGTAAACAGTTTGGTCTGAGGGAAGACGTGTGTGTCTGTGCTCCTCTTTAAACACAGGTTATTCACACACCATTTAATAAAGCACTTCACCTCACATTGCAACATATCCTGCAGAGCTGGGAAACAGATGCTGTGATTAGCTGAATAAATACCTGAAATGTCAACAGAACAGGATCAAAGTTAGCGTCTCACCAGTCTGTTTAGCCAGGTTTCAAAACAGATTTTTTATTTTTCTTCTACAGCATCTAACAGTCGAGTGGAGAGCGTGTGTGAACGCTGGAGAGCCAGTTTGATCGAGCAATATGGTGGAAAACCAGACCCACAACAGTATTTGCCTCAGTGTGAACCAGATGGAGAATTCAGGTACTTCAATATACATTTTTATGAGCAGCTAACGTCGTTTCCATGCAGCAACATTCTGATCCTGATCTCTGTGCGCCTCCAGTCCCGTCCAGTGTTACGGGGAGTCCACTTACTGTTGGTGTGTGAACAAGGAGGGACAGGAAATCACTGGTACTCGTTCACACGATGCTGTCAAACCAGCGTGTAAGTTAGATTATTTTTCTTCCTTAGCATTAAAGGGTTGAGGGGGGCAATTACAAACACATGCCACACTTATCAGATTAGCATATGTTAAATATTTGTAAGCCATGTTGTTAGCAAGTAAATAGTATATAATCCAATCTTTTACCAGGCCTCCCAACAGTGGCACCCCCCGTCGTACGTCCCGTGACCCGTCCAGACGTGACTCCTCCGGCAAACACCGACGTCACTCTCCTCTACGCTCAGGGGCAGAAAATAGGAGCTCTGCCTCTGAACGGGACCAGACTGGATGCAGCGCGCTCCAGTACTCTGCTGACGTTACATGTAAGAAATGCTGCGACTTTCCATTCCTCTTTTTTAGAAAAATAAAAACAAAGCTGGTCTAAAAAGAAAAAAAAATAAAGAAGTCTCTAATTTTGCCTTCATATATCATTTTTACTGGCTGTTGACACCCAATGTGTCAAGTGATGCAATGTGTGAGAGACATCTGTGTAACATCTGCTGCGGATGAGTTTCCTACGCCTACTCTAGCAGAAACACAGAAGAAAGGTTTGAATCTGAGATGATAAATCACACTTTGTCAGGATAACAAAGATGTCTGCCATCTTTTCCTTCTTAAGTGAAGTTTAATCTATTTAAAAAGAAAACAAATCATATAAGAACAATCATAGTTAATAAAAAAATCCCCTAAATTGAAAAAAAAACATATGTTTTTTAATTGTGCCCTGCAAAAACGATCCTAAAATTAGTAATAAAAGTCTTAAAATGTGTGTATTTACCCTGGATTTGCCAATATATTGAGTATGTTTTACCTTAAAATAAGATAATTAGATATTATGCACTTGAAAGCATTTGAGAATGCAGATGTTTTTTTCTTATTTTAAATGTAAATCGTGTTATTCAATTGGCAAAGTGTCTCATTTACCTGCTCAATTCAAGAAAAAAATGCACTTAATTTAAGAAAAATCCTCTTACTTATTTTATTTGAAATGGGAAATCTATGGATTTGATTCCAGCTTCCTCATGTTACATGTTGATCTGTGTAAGACTCTCCAGGTCTGACTGTCAAGCTTTAAAATAAGCAAATGTCCAGCTGCAAGAAAACCTTAACAATTTCAATTCAATTTAGTTTATTTATATAATGACAATTTAAAAGCATGTCTTCTTAAGGAACTTTAGAGACAATTCAATCAAATCATACAGACAGATTGGTACAAAGTTTTCTATCAAAGGGAAAGCAGGATTTGTTCTTCCTGGATGAGTTTGCAGTGACTAAACAAATATGACTAATTCTGAAAGAGGCCAGGAGGAAGCATTCTTTCTCTAAAAGCAATATGGCAGCATGGTTTTGGTTTGCAAATATATATTTGAATATGTTTCATTACACTTGCCGGCAGGGAGGGCAACTGAGCCGGTTGTC